ATATGGGGATTTGTAGGCTCTCTTTGGTGGCACGATTGGGTATAACTTCTTCGCCGTACGAGATGGTGGTGCGGTCGTGCCGCTCTTCCTGACTCTGCTGTCCCGCGTCACTCGAAGCGGATCGTCTTGCTTCTTGTACCGAGATCCTTGCCTGCGGCGTATTTTCTGGTCCTCTCCTCGCACTGGCGACAGGGCCAGCTCGTCTTGCGAGTTCTTGGCCGCGAACATGTGCACCCTGTCTTCTGGCGATAGGGCGAGTCGCTCGGAATAGTTGTCGTGAACCATCTCGAGCGGCCCGGACCAGAAGTTGGTGATGATGCTGATGCGAGGGGGGGATGGCTTTCGGCTCCAAATCTTCGCTGGTGCATTGAAGCTCCCCATCAGTAGCCCCTGGTAGGGACCGCTCATTGTTGCTTGGTGGATCTTTGGATTGATAGGAGGAAGGAGCGAGCACTTGCTCGTGCTGGCGATACTGGATCTGGTGGGAGTGGGTGATGTTGAGTTGGTGGTTGTTGGCAACGAAGTGATGCTGATGGAAGCGTGGCACATATTCCGGATACGGACCGAGGATCTTGCCTTTTCATTCTGAGTTTTATATAGCCCTATGAATGCGGCTGTTTTCTATTCTCTTCGGGCTGTTCTTTCTTTCTGGACAGCTCATTCTTCTATTGTTCTACGCTGATTTCTGGGCTTGTGGATTACGAAGCTGGGAGGATAATTCCTTTGTCTCGAAACAATGATCAAGATGCATGCAGCCTTTATTGTGGCCTTTATGAAATCTGTAAGCATTCCACTCTTCTTTATTCTGTATCTCGAAGGAGGGCACCATTGCGGTAAGTAGCCCTACCCATACCACACGTGGAATCAATTTCGATGGGAATACAAGGTCCCATGCAAGTATTTTCATATATTGTTCTAGAATCATCAGATGCTTTAGTGTGTCTGTAGCGCAGTGTAGGCTGCTAATGCCAATAACCACTGATGCTACGATGTATCAAGTATTGAATACATCCAAAGTTGGGCGGGAATCAGAAGAGGAGGATTGGTTGCGAGACTGTAATTCTCCTCTGGACTATGTTCGCCGTCTCCTTGCAGCTTTCTGCGTTGCTTGTCTGCTTATTCTGGGAAGTTTTGTGTTATTCTTTCTGCGTTGCTTGTCTGCTTATTCTGGGAAGTTTTGTGTTATTATATGTTGTTTATCTAGGCCAGCCTTCAAGACTCGAGTCTTGTTACGGGTGGGATTTCATGAAGTCGATAAGCAGTATTTGATCCGTCATTCGTACATAGCACGTCTTGATTGTCATGGAAAATCCCAACCATGGCTTTCGAATCAGAAGCTCGAGAAGCGCTGGTAGCAATTAAAAATATTGCCCTAGTAAAGGCTCTGGATTTCATGTCTCGAAAATCCGAATTTACCGGCAAATCCTGGGCAATGTGACATGTACTCCGTCGTAGAGAACGGGATAATCGAGTACCGAGACGAAACGGCGATGTATATCCTTGCAGATTCTCGCATTTACCTATCAATATCTGTGAAAGGGAAATTGGTTAGCGTGTTTGCGAACGTCTCAACCTCTTTGTTTCCTTTGTCAGCAAAGTTACGATTTCCTTTGTTGTGTTTTAAGCGAGGTTCGGCTATGGAAGGGGTTTTTTTTAAGCTGATATGGGCAAGCTCTTGCTGCTTCTTCGAGTTCTGCCAACAGAATATACAAACTATACGATTGCTTCCATCTTCAACATATAGAGGGAATGAAAACCCGAAAAGAAAACCCCTATCGATCAGCCATGCCCTCAGAAACAGTCTGCGTCTGCAACCTGCCTGCTGCGCCCAATTTTGCAGCGCACCTCCTCGAGCACACTGCCGCCAAAGAGGAGTTCATCATCGAGCAGTACACGCAAGTCCTGGAAGCTGCTGAGGATCAGTATCTGAGGCTCGGGGAGTTGCTGATGGAGACCGAGAAAGGGAGCTTCGAGGCGAGAGCGTTGCAGGGCGTGTTGGATCACGTTAGGGAGACGATGGTACGGAATGAGGAGAGCTTGAGGATGGTTAGGGAGTCGTTATGGAAGAAGTTCGAGAAGGACGACGGGGAGGTTTCTATTTGACGGAAATAAAAGAAGAGGGACTTTTGGGTGTTCGAATTTTGCTTAGAGGGAATTGATGGGGTTCGAAAAAGCTACGGATTAAAAGACCTTATCTTTCAGGCCTAGGTACCTAGGCATGATCCCTCCATCCGCCTGTTTGGGTGTTTCCTTACTTCTTTCGAGTCACGTGTTGGCCACCATGACGTACGGGTACCATGGTACAAAGGCAGAGCTCCTCCTACTTTCCTTCCCATCAAATATCGGCGAGCACAAACCCGCAGGCAAGAAATACACACCCAATACTTACCTACCCACACCACGTTTGTGATTCTACAGTTCATACGTCAATCATCGTCTCCTCTCCTCGCGTCTTCTAAATCTTCTGGGTCTCCGAACAGCTTCCCCAGGCCAGGCCAGGTTATCAACAATGTCGGGCATTCCAGTGTACACCTCGAGCCCTATCACGGCAACAAAGGCATCTGGCACAACCACGCAAACAGCAGCGTCTCCCCAAAACTTTCCTCTTGCTACAAGCACCACCTCAGCTTCCACTCCCAGGTCCACTTCCACAGGCGCTTCTGCTTCGTCGTCAATATACCCTCAAGCCAAACCAGGAGCTGCGGCTATTTCTGATCCCACAGCGGCAGCGCAAAGCTATGCGCCTGCACAACCAACCCCTACAACTAGAACTGGTGACATGCAACCTCCAGCTCCTCAGCCAGGTGCTGTTCCTACCCCGTTGAACAGGAGCGTCGTACCACCTCCCCCCAAAGCTGGTGAGACGTACCAACCTCCCCCGACGGCTGCTCCCATGCCTCCCCAGATGGGATACGCTCCTCCGACCATGACCTACGGATCTCAGCCTCTTAAATCATCAACCAGTACAACCAACACCCCATCCGTTCCCTACCCGGTCGGGATACCTTCTGCTGCTGATGATCCACGCCGAAGTCTGGAACATCCTCCTGGATACCATCAGGACGTCTACGCTTCAGAGCTCACCAGTGATCAAAGGAGAGCACACGAAGCCGAACTAGCGAACAGCTCTTCTGTTTTCGGGTCTCTAGACAACGGAAGTGCTGGCGGCTTTGAAGCTGATGGAGTCTGGAACACTGCGAAGAAATGGGCGCAACAAGCCGGAGAAAAGATATCGGCGACCGAACAAGAGGTTTGGAAGAAGATCAATAAGAACTAGATTCTTCACTTGACGCAGATTATTGTCTGGGAAAAGGTCAACAGCAAATGGTCTGCGGCTCAGGGAAACGAACCGTCATATCAGCGGGCGTCCTCCGTTTCGAAAGCGACTTGTCTACCAACAGTAAAATGCAAGCTTGCAAGGAGATACGAATCCTATTTGACATTGCGCCAATTGCTGGGTGGAACTGGAACTGGGACTTGAAAGTGACTTTTCAGTTACACGAAAATTGCTCCGCTCAAAGAAAAGTTTTTCAAAATGGACAAGTTCGCGGAAGAATGGACCATGTCGTTGCGATGGTCTATCTAAAATCCGGTGCATGGTTGCAACGGAGGTCTCCCCGGCTTAAAGAATCGTGGTAATCTTTATCCTTTCGGCAATGCATACTCCGTAAACTCTGTCGGGGCTGGGCTGGACAAAACGCGTCATTCTACAAACATGGTTATGATAAGGTCTATCCTTGGATCTTGGCCTCGGGTGCTCGGCATGCTTGGAATCGTGCATTCCGTGGATACGTGGACCTGTTTATCGAAGGATCGTTTACTTTGATCGAAGAGGTCCTGATTGGCACCGGGATCTCCATAAGAGCAGTTCTATTGACAGTGATCATGTACCTACAAATACAACGAGTACCTCAGGCAAAGCCCATGATACCAAAATCGAGAGATAGTTGCGCCATGAACAAAGTCCCGCACGATCTTACTCTGACTGGAGCACCACTTGATGGCATAGCAATCTGAAAAAAGTAGCAGCTATCCGTGCTATAACCAATTTCGTCTTGTCATTTCTAGTGTGGAGGGCGATGGCTGGGGTACATTATTTACGTACCACGCTCGGAATGCCCATCACCAGCGGTCCGAAGTCTTCCCTTGAGCATTCCGGCTTGAGTAAGTCGGGCGTTCCGGCAGTGAACTCACCCTTGGGTGGGCTCAGGTCGAGTTTTGGGCACAGCGATTGTGGCTCATGTTTGTATGGGGATTTACGATATTCTCTCAGGTATATTCAACTGTACTCATTACCTTGCGACGACAGTATCAGATGCTGGCCGAGCAATAAACAGCCTGTGTCGTCTTCATACTGTAGAGGCGTCTGGCTCCCGGTTGCCTCTCTACTACATATATAGTTGTAGGTACCGGTGGTCCAGCCAGGGTCAGACTCGGCACGGCCCCAAGGGCCCAAGGCCCCTAATTGCTGCTATCCGAAACACCCCAAACTCTTCGCTTAGGCCCAGCTGGCGCTTCTCCACAAATAACGACGGCTCTCGGGCTCTCAGCACTTCTGCAGTACAATACGAAACTTCCACCGTGGTCTTCGCTGAGGAAGTGCAGGACAAGACAACGCTTTTGCTGCCGTGCCCATGTTGTCGCCCAAGCCAGATTATTTTCGAATTGTTGGCTGGCACAACATCAAACAGAGTTGTCGATCGAAGGCCAAATATCCCAGGCCACATCGTCTCCGCCGTCGTTGATATTAGGGCTGATATAACCTCGACAGCAAGTCGGAAGCCGCGGGGACACCCCAGACACCGTGGAAGATCCTCAAACGGACCCGATCTTGCGGCCAAACACGGCCAGTGCTAGACTCTATAGTGCTGGGCCTAGGAGCTAGGCCCCGAGTGGCCGGCCAGAGAGCGACGGAGAAGCCGCATTGGCCAGAAGGGTAGGTAGTTCAGGCTGCTTACTCGAGTCGAGATCAGCGAGTCCCAGATGTTGCAACATCCTCCCTGGCCTCGGATCGCAAGTCGTTTGGTGTATCCGTTTAACGGCGTGGACTCGACCGGGTGCATCACATACCTTTCCGCTGTCCCTCCTTGACATGGCTACCCGTCCCAGAGAAGGACAATTAAGCAGTGACGTCGGCTTCGTCTTGGAACAGGAATAAGACAGGCCTAACCCCTTCTCAAGGAGACTCAAGGAGAATGCTGGATGGAAAAGACACATCGCCAGTCGGTGCAGCTCGGTCGATACTGTAGCTGGACTGGACTGGACTGGACTGGACTGGACTGGACTGACAGATCAGATGGACTTCATTCACCTTCGCTCTGCCTGCCCTTCTCGGACCTTGATACTGCACGCACACGCACCCTGGATGCCAAGAATGCTAGGTCAAGCTCACCTTTGGTGCGGTTTGGCTTGTCCAACGTACGTATCAAGTACATCGGTAGGGGTTGGGAGAGACATCCTGGCAGGACGGTGGAGTGGAGCCCGCCGCCGTAGGCCTTCCCGACCTTTGAATGCATTTCTTTTCTTATACTCCGGGGTCACTGCACTGCCCCTCTTCTGCCTTTTCGCGTCCTCCTAATCGCTGCTCTACCTAATCGCTGTTTAATCTTTACATTCTATTCGACAGTCACTCCTTTACGGCTCTTTTTGGATTTCGGCCTTTTTTGCTGTACACTGGGAGCTGGCTCTCATTTCTTTCCAACCAACCGGGGTGCGTCGATCGCCAAAGGAGTTCATTTCTATAATCCTGCATAGTCAACTGAACAATATTCATTTCCGTTGCCACCGCACCTACCAATTTATTAATTTCTCACCCACACCCTCTTCACTCTTCGCGAGGTATCGTTGTCCAATTAAGTTTCATAGAGAGGGCCGATGAAAGTCTCGGCATTCCTCACCTTCAGGACGCGGTACAACAAATTGAGTTGCACACCTACGCCCATATCACGTCTGGTATGTTATAAGACTTTCACAGTACAATCGTTCCAATCTCCCGTCTCGTTGAATGATCTTCGTATACATCTCCATAACTTTTCATAAGCCTATCGGGACTGACGACAATAGATCAAGGTGGTCCTTGTCGGCTCCGAATCTTAATTGATAGAAGCGGAAGATCTTCGTCATGGACGCCAACCAGGCGCAACTGTAACTTCTCCAGCCACACCCCTCTTGAGTAACCTTACTTACATCAACCATCAGCCGCCTCCAAGGACAGACATCCCCATTTCAGCTCAATCTGAAGAACAAATTCCGGAGAGATCTCCCGCCTCGATCATTCCCCACAGTGACTATGAATCCGAACGAGACGTCGATGAAGACAGAGTCAGTTGGATTAGGGATGTGGCCTTCACCAACGCCTCAAAGTATAACGAGGCCTCGACCAGCAACGATACACGAGACCGGATTCTCATACTGCATGCCAGAAGTTTATACCTCACTGCCGGCATGGGACTCATCAACCATGCCAATGCATCCACTCAACGATGGAATTTCTCAGACGTATTCGGTGCAACAAGACTTCTACTCGGCTACGCCAAACGCCGAAAGTAGGTCTGAGGCTCAAAGGGCAGGGCCTTATGACAACCAATATGTAAATTGTGTCCCAGATGGCTGGAACACCAAGTCTTGCGATGACGGTATTGAATTCCATGGACTGGACACGGATATGAATATGGGACAGGCCTATACTTCTGATGAGAGCGCACAGATCCTTGATTTGAGATATCCCAGTCATGTTATGGACGGTGATCAACTGAATCTCGAGCAGTCGTATGGCTCTCGCCGTATGTCTGGTTCATCTTTCACGATGTCGACGTCGGGAGCCCTCTCCGAGATGCCTTCTTATGAAGACTTCTCGGCCTCTCTTTCGGAGGCGCCATCTTTCAGCTCGGAATACCCACCACCATCGAACAGGAACTCTTTGATGTCATCGACTCAGTTATCACCTGTTGCATCACCGAGAATGACGCCTCAAAACCGCTCCGAGCTGGTTCGAACACAGAGTCGGGGTCGCGCCTCTCCTTCACCGAGACCGAGCATGCGATCAGCACCATATACTATGGACAGCACTCGCAACAAAAGATGGTCCACCGGATCTTATGCGCCACTTCCAAATCGCCGCCCGTCTCCTTTCGTCTACCATCAAGGGCATGAAGTTTTCACCCCTCAACCACCTAGGGTCTCGTCTCGGCACTCCTCGCCAAATTTACAGCACGCTCAGCTGCCCCTGAATATGGCCAACTTGCAGCAAACACAACAGCAACACCCATTCATGATGACAAATAACAATGGCTTCCAGCAAAGTAGCATGCTTCTCCCATCGCACAGTTACCATGAGCCTCATCAATTCGAGACTCCACCGCCATTGCTATCACATGGGCTTTTCCGGATGCTACAAAGCAATGCTGATCCACACTCTTTGCATTCGCATTACTCCGATCTAGGCGATCCGCCTGATCTCTACGCCTCGCTCCACGAAGAGCAAGTCCCACCACCGCCTGAGGACATGAACCCAAGTGACCCCGAAATGATTCCCCACGAACAGGAACTCCGCTTCGACGGTGACCTCTACACGCCTCGTTGGGTCCGAGGTCACGGGAATAAACGCGAAGGCTGGTGTGGTATCTGCAAACCGGGACGATGGCTCGTCCTAAAAAACAGCGCCTTCTGGTACGACAAGAGTTTCACCCATGGTATCAGCGCCGCGACTGGCAGCCCCTTTCAAGAGCCTCAAAAGACGCGCCGTATGGATGGCAATCCCGACGTGTGGGAAGGCCTGTGCGGAAGCTGTAACGAGTGGGTTGCGCTGGTGAGTAGCAAGAAGAAGGGAACCACCTGGTTCAGACACGCCTACAAGGTAAGTTCCGAATGACCACCGCCCCAGAGGGCAATGACTTTGGTCATTTTCAAAAGACTGCCTCGGAAGAAATCGTGCCTAATGCTTTCTCTCTCTGTAGTGCCATACCCATCCCAAGATCAAGGACGCGCCAAAACGCCGCCGAGAGAGCAGTCACACCCGGTCGCTCGGGGCGTCGACAATGGCCAAGCCCAAGATGGAGCCTCCCATGACGCCGCAGATGACGCCGAGCTCCTCGGCCATGAACACGCCGGCTACGGGCATGCTACCGCAGCATCACCGCAAAGTGCTGAGTCCCCTGGATGGACTGTCGAACATGATATAACATCACCACGCAACCCTTCCTTTTGTTGTCATCGGCGTCGGGGATTTATAACTGGATGAGGCGGTATGTGTCAAATGATCGAACGAGTGACGGCCTCGGACCGTCCTTGATGATGATGATGATGATGATGAGCGCCGGCTATGAGGAGCAGGAGGAGGGGGCATCGCTGAGTCGAGCCAGGACGGTAGGGGTGCATGGCGCCCGAGGGGGAAGCTCGCTTAGCTATAGGAGGCAAGCATGGAGGGAACGGGCGCTGGGCGGCACGCGGTTGGGCATCATTGCGTGCGAGGCCAATTACAATGTTCGGGTATACATTGTAACGAGCGAGTGACATTTTTCTCTTACTCACTCACTCACTCTCTCTCTCTCTCTCTCTTTCTTTTTATCTCTTGATTATTATCTTTTTTTGATGATTTACGACATCTGTGCTGGGAACATGGGAGGCTGGCGGGGGCGCGGTGGGCACGGGCTGGATGGATGGATGCATTGGGGCTCGACCAAAAGCAATTTTCACACACACCATTCGGTTCAATACGGTTTGTCTTTGTACCTTTGTACTTTTGTTATAGATGTTAGACGTGACAGAGTAGTTTCCTGTCTTCGGGAAGAAGAACTCGTCGGGCCGAGCGAGCTGGGCCTGGAAACCAGAGAGAGTAGCGAGCGTGAATGAATGGACCGACCACTTGATGAAATAGCCCTCCCTCTCTCTGTGTCTCTACCTGTGTTTTTCCCTCCCATTTCTCCTCCTCGTTCTCTCTCTCTCTCTCTCTCTCTCTTACCCCTCGTTAGTATTTCCTTCCTCCTTTTCCTCTTTCCGTTACTCAGCCACGTTCGAGTCACAGGCAAACCTTCCTTCGAACAGCCGGTTCTGGGTTTCTCCTGGAACCTAATCCTCCCCTCCCCTCCCCTCCCTTCCCCTCCCTTCCCCTCCCCATCCCGGTAAAGATGACAGTGACGCGACGAGATACGACACACGTCTCCCCTTCTTCTCCTCCAGCTACAGCTACAGGACTGATCGGGACTGTTCCTCCCCGGAAGAACATCACGCACGGGTGCGTCCAGTACAGCAGTTCCGTATTGGGACTTTCTGATCGATACAGGAACGTTTCGCAAGCGTTTTTGGATGGATCAGGGAGGGAGGGAGGAAGGGAGGAAGGGAGGTGGGTTAGTGATACGACGCTGAAACGCGGGGGAACCTAATCAGGTTCTAGAAGGAGGGTGGAGGGTGCGGAAGTCTGTTTGGTCCTGACGAGGCCAGGGGGGGGGCGGGGTGATGGGGGTGATCTTGTTAACCTTGCTTGTCCTTGGGCGCGGGTTGGCTGGGTCTGGGTAGATGGGATGGGTAGATACTACGTAGATAGATGGTGGATGGTGGATGGGTGGATGGATGGATAGGATATGGTGTTGCGGTCTCCTGGCGTCAGTTGTGGCAGTTTGCAATAGATGGTTTGTGCCTCTGCTGGTCGAAGATTCATTGCGTCATTGAGTAGCTGAGTCGTTGAGGTAAAGTAAAGTAGAGTTGAGCGGAGCAGAGTTGAAGTCAAGGCTAAGCGAGCTGCGACTCCGAGTGCGAGATCTACTACTACTACTACGTAGTAGTAGTATCATCTGTGGACGGGAAGTTCCCGGCCGTAGCGCAAGCAAGCAAATACCTAGTAGTACCTACTACGTACTAGTAAAAGTAAATACGCGTCACCTCAGGTGTGGGGTACAGAGGCCTCGGGGATGAAGGCCTCAAGTTAAGGTTTCGAATGGTTCTAACCTCGATTCAGATCGACATGGTGAGGGGGCTATCAAAGCACAGTTTCCAAGTCAAGCTCCTTTCTTCCCCGGATCTTTCGGTCTGGAGATCGTTGGTTGACAACGGTCAGGCTGCACGTCTACCGTAACTCATTCGATTTAGAGTCTTGCAGAGAGTCAGGTTTGATGATCTCGGGTGGGAAGACGCCGAATCAGGTCCAGGTCGAGGTCCGGGCCCTTTACGACTCGGACCTTGGAGGACCGAATGCAATTGAGGTGACGCTAATGGCGTTTGCAGTGATGTTCGGATGAGACTTTCGGGTATGTATTCTCATAATTGTTTCTATTATAGGTATATGGTGGCTTGATTTTTCATCGTATTTGTTTTTCACTGTCAGTCGTACCGGTTCAGATAGAGCATACGCATCCAAATCTACCGTTTGCGGTCAAGATAGTCGTAGTATATTACCGGCCGCCACTACGCACCTCGACTACCGAGAAGCCCAGCCTGATTTTCAATATGAAGTCATCTAGAGACGACCGGAGGTTGCTTCGAGTTCGGATACGAGCAATATCGCGGCCCAACTTTGACTACTGGGAGACGAGGTAGACCTTGCGAACGCACGCATTTAGTTGAAGACTTGAAGTACTTGGGAATGCTGGGTACAAGAAGATAGTTGTATATCTGTCGATAGCAGGGAAAGAGAAGGGCAAGATCCCCGAGGGACTCGAACAGCGGACAGAAAAAGAGTCAAAATTTGCCACAAGCAGCTCGAAGGGGCAACGGATCCATCGTATTGATAGCACCAGTAACACTCGTAAAAGACGGACAAGACGAAAGTGCCTAACGCGGAGAAATAAATAGCATCATCGAGGGGGATTCCCTACAGAGTAAACCAACCCCGTGAGCCCTTGCAGCTCGCGTGACTTCAAAGGGTCGTATCACGTGGCCGGACACTGACCGGCTCGGGTCGCAGAGATTGGAATAGTTGGAATATAGGCTAATCGGTCGGAACCACGATTGTAGAGACTAGTTTGGACCGCTGTCAAGATAGCTTCCGTAGATGCAACTTGAAAGTTCGGCTAGAAATCAGATGGTTCGTCCCCCTTTTCTCCTGCCGGCGCTTGACAGTGGAACGTACCGGTAGTGACAGCGTCTGGCCGGCTCGCTGGATCTGAAAATCGACTGGTAGCAGAAGAGCCGAAAGAATCTATGCAATCATGACAGCCAATCCAGATCCGATATGCAGTCAAGGACTAAGGGCGTATGAAACTTGGAGCTTTTTCCCGTTTGTTTCTTCCGGAGAACAGAGATGCAATAGAGAATCCCTTCATTCGTTGCGTTGCAAAGAGAAGTAAGCAGCCACCATCAACCTTGCGCTCATCTTTACTGTAGCTCAAGGGTCCAGGGGCGCCGGCAGAGTGCAGATTCGCCGCTGGACACCATTCGATGCTGGTGCTCTCGAACCTCTTGTGATACATGATTGGCTGTGACTGACATCTGACGAGAAGATAGAGGTCCATGTCCCATCTCCCTTCGCCCTCCCGGTACAGATTCGCAAGCGGGACTGCGGTATTGATACAGTATGTGATAAAGCTCTAAGCTCTATATAGCCTTTGGTAGCGTCGATGATGGACCAGTTCGTGGGGATAACCATTATACTACGTACTACGTACATACATAAATTCAATTGAACGTACTGTATGAACAATACCGGTACAACCCATACGTACCGGTACATGCATATGCTTTGTCCTAAATGCAGGTACCATCGCCCAGATCTGAATTCACATTGCCACTAGTGGCAGAGGCGTGAGAGAATCGGAGACATATGAACAAGACCGTCTTGAAGCAGCAAAGATCACCAGCTTCTACGGCCGAAATATTCCGTCAAGGATGCATGCAGGATACAAGTTTGTCCAACTACGCAGTATACCGGTATACGTAGTATTTGCGGTATTGTGCTGTGCTGTGCTGTGCTGTGCCTCCCTCATATGCAAAGCAAGATGAATTCCGTGATCATTATTGACTTCCGTCCTATCCGCCCCCTCGCTTTGCTTCGCTTCGCACGTTTATTGCCTTCCTCGCTGCCCTGACTTTTGCACCGAAGTTCTTCCCGTCTCTTGACTATCTATCTACTACGTATCTTTGCCTGACCAACAAATACCGGTAGTCTCACATAATGATGTACATTCCTCAGTAAATTCCCGCCGCAGGGACTTGTCACTTGGAAATGGCAATCCAATGATCACTCACCAAAATACTTCTTTGGGTTTGCCTTTGCTCTCTGGACCCGCTCGCTGGGACCTCCGTATAATCCTGGTTCTTTTCTGCCCGCGTTACTCCCCAAGTCTAACCAAAATAATCGCTACAAAGCTCGATTGTGTGCCTCAACGCCAACGCCAACCAACACCAACACCAACGCCAATAATAACAATAACAATAACAATAGCAGCCCTCGAATAGTTCCGGCCCATCTTCACACCTATCAGGAGACGGGAATACTTCTTTCTGTACTAGGGCGCCCTCCGTGGCAGTTGCCGAGCAGCCTAGCCCGCTGAGTTTGAGCAAGCCAGTGCGTTGCACACCAAGACCTACCTACCTACCTACCCCCTCTGCTTACGCTTTGGACTGCTCCAACATCAACCCTGGAGCTTGGACGGCAGTGACTGTGGTAAGTTCAATAGATTGCAATCATGCTGTAGGCAAATACTGACTTCTGCAATTCACAGAACCAAAAAGGACTTCCGACCTTCACATCCACCATCCCTTGTTGCTACCCACCATGTTGTGAACATTCCTGTGGCTCCGATTCCACATCTCCTCCCGCAACCATTTTCTCTCCAATCGATCTTGAAATCTGCACTCAACTGTTCAAGGGGTCACCAGGGGCCAGATATACGTCATACGGAATATAGGATGAATTTTGGTTGGGAGATCCTGAAGACTGTCTAAAGGAAAAAAGGAAGAAGGCCCATCGACGATTGACAGTCCAGGCAGCATTGCCGTTCGGCCTCGACCACAAGCAATTCGGTCAAAGTGGTCACATTTGCTATGAGTTGGGATCAACAGGCATACAGGTAAGCTGATCTCGTCGTAGTAAAGGCTACATTTGCTAATGCCTTGCCCCAGCTTTGGGAATCCAAACGCTCAACCCCTGACACCTACACGAACCCCAACGTCAGGCCAATTCCCCAGCCCGACTGCCTTTCAAACACCAAAAAGGGGCTCCAACTTGGAAAGCCGTGGCGGATGGACACCGACTTTTGCAGAAGAATATTCTGTAAGCAAATTTTTCGTAATGATTGTCTGGGATTCAGCCGTAGCCTCGCCGTCAGATCAGACAATTCCACCACGTAGTAGAAGATTGGACGAAGAATCTTCGTTGCGAAACTATTGTTACTGGACTAGACCCTTGGTTGTATTGATTCGTCACTGAGACTTTCATTCTGATTTCTCATAGGTCTTCAACGCAACGCCGGGCAGGCTCACCAGCTCGCAGTATCAATTTGCTGAAGCCTCTCCCCGGCCCTCAACTTCTTCTACTCAGAAAGGTATTTCCGCAGGAGATTTGGCAGCAGAGCTCATAACCCATGTGCACCACCTATCTCCAAAAACCCATCTCCCTCTCCCACCAGTCGACCCCTCCAACCAGCTGTCCTCTTCTCCAGGGCCACCCCCCGCCACAGAGGGTAGATCCGATGACAGCGTAAATACGCTCGTAACACCAAGGAAGCCCAGAAAGCGATTAGAAGGAGCCTTCAGCGCGCAGACCGCAACCCCCCCGGCAACAAGGTCCAGAGGGTTGAGGAAACAAGCCCCCAAGACAAGATCAGATACGATGCAGAATGCCTCCCAGGATAGCCACTATGGTGCCTCGCACACCCCAACACGCCAGCAGAGCCATATGTCCTTCCCCTCTAGCTCTGCTGATTTCTTTTACCCTATGTCGGCGCCAGCCTTCATCAACAGCAAACCATTTTGGGAGCCTGACGCAAGCATGGGCGGCATGGATCTTGATTTCAACACTGAAGATGCGGTGATGTTCAACATGGGATCGCATAGGACGGGCAATTCGTTCGATTGGGGACGGAATAACCAAATGGTCAATGTACCGGCGCCGACACCAAGCACTGTGAAGCGCCAAAGGCCATTAGCGCCGAAGCTCCCCAAGTCCACACCAGAACTGCTCCCCTCGACCATCGCGTCGTTCGACTTCCCCGACTTCTCTGCTTCGGAGGATCCCTTCTCTCCTTCCGCTATTGGAGGTGTCAATCCAGGCCTTCTGTTCAGTCGCAACAACCTGGTGCCGATGGCTTCGCAGTTTGCGGATATCCCGCTGCCCCCTACGCGGCCTGCAACAAGCCATGCAGAGCAGCCGCAACCCTACCAACACCAATTGCGAGAATCGATGCGCGATCAAGAAGAGCTGCGTCGGTCTCGGTCTCGGAGTTCCCGGGAAAGCAGCAAGGCGCGACGGCTCGAACGAGGCCCGGCGAGCTCGCCCGTCAAAGGCTCAGCGCGGCCAAGTCTACAAAGAAGTAGCAGTGAGAGCAGGGGAAAGCGATGTCAACCAGGTAATGATCCTCTCTAAAGTCTCGAATGCGTCAACTAAATTCGTCCCAAGACCGTATACTCTCGCGTAGTAGTAGTAGTAGCAGTGGCAGAATTTCGCCAATGAAGCATCAGCGCCCTAGCAACCTCACCTCGATTCCTGAGATGGAACGACCTAAGACCCGGACGGAAGTGAAATTTACCATCGATGCCAACGGACGAGCTAGGACTGAGACTGTGATCTTACAAGAGTACCCTACGACCAGCCGAGGCCCTTCGGCGCGCAGCGATATCTGGGAATCATCCCAATATGACGAGTCTTCTTCAGACGACGAATCAATATTGGTCGCCAGTCGAAACACCTCGTTTGCCCTTCCACAACAAGCAAAGTCGGCTAAGATGTCAGGTTTCGATTTACCCCAGAGCCTTGAGTACCAAAAGCACAGCTCTGGTGGCTACAGTCACTCCGAGTCTTCAAGCCAGAGATCCTTACGCCAGGATAGTGCTGGCAGTGAATCTGGAACCGCATTCATGGAGGAAGATGATGGTTCGGGGGATGCAGCACAAGCACTTCGTAAGATTATGGAAAGTCGCAAGAAAGAGCAAAGAATAATGCGGCAATCTCAACAACTCCACCACCGCCATTATGACACTACTCCTCGGGGCAACTCTCAGTACAGAAACTACGGGTCTTCGAATTTCTCTCCGACATCTATGACCGATCCTAATGCCGGAACCCCATCAAGCTCGAAAAGTGGTACCATTCGGTGCACCTGTGGCAATCCTGATAGTGAGGGCTTGATGATTCAATGGTATGCAGCATTTTATACTAGAGACGTCATGGAACTGACCTTTGCAGTGAATCTTGCGATAACTGGCTTCACACCGATTGTGTTGGCATTGATCCTAGGCATCTCCCTGCTGTTTATATCTGCGCTTTCTGCGCTCAGACTCCTAAACTACGAGGAGGCCGGACTCGAGACTCCACCAAAGGAGCTGGCCGCATGGGAGGCGGCTCGTCACCATTGGCACATAAATCTTTCAAGTCGTTCAGGTGAAGGCTACCTTATCCTTTCGAGTTCAAACGGTATTCCCTATACGGTCAAGGGATTTCAACAAAAAAGCAACAGCTCCTGTCGGCTTCTAGCTAAAGACCATCCCCAGGTTTCCATCCTCGAACAACAATTCAGTGGATATGTCATGAGAATAATGTGTAAACGGAGACAACACGGACATCATCAATGTCATACTTTTCCCCTTTGCCCTGATACCCTTCCTGAGTAGATGTAGTAGAAGATATCCTGCATAGCGCTAAAACGGGGCAGAAGTGGCATGGGAAGGCAAAAGGGGAACGAGTAGATGGGCACAATCTGCACAGCCAAGCCAAAATACTTGTACTACTGAATGTGTCCGTGGTCTTTGGGAAGAAGTCGCTGGCTGCCTGGACATTAAAATTTGTATCCTTGAATACGAACTTGCTTCATTATCTACTACCTACTACCTATCCCCCCATGAAAACATGACGAAAGTATAATTTTGCAAGGGATCTTACCACGGCTCAAAACCAATCAACTTACTGTATAAGAATCCAGCCTTGAAAAGAATCTTTAGGTTAGTATTTAGTCTGTGCAATCGAGTGGACAGGGCTTTGAACCATTCAGAAACCACCGCTAAACTGGGTCCGACATGTATTCATGGGGGGGGATAGTACTACTAGGTAAATACTAACCTAAAGATACTTTTCAAGGCTGGATTCTTATAAGTTGATTGGTTTAAGCCGTGGTAAGAGACTATCCCCCCCCCATGAATACATGTCGAAAGTATAATTTTGCAAGGGATCTTACCAGGGCCTCAACTGATCAACTTACTTCTACTACTACAGTACTACTACTACTTGTACGTACTACGTATAGCTAGGTACTGCGTATAAGAAAGGATTCATTCAGCCTTGAAAAGTATCTTTGAGCCAACATTTAGTCTGTGCAATAGAGTTGACAGGGCTTTGAGCCATTCAGAAACCACCGCTCTATGATTTATGGGCCTAAACTGGGTCCGATATGTATTCATGAGGGGGGGATAGTACTACATACGTAGTACTACGTACTACGTACGTTCAAGGGGCCAGTTTCCTTGAGGATGGTAGAGCGGTGAATACTGAACCGATGTTCACTTGACATACGGTACCGTACTTGCCCTGGCCATGGCACCGATTTGGCCCCGCCATCGCACGTGACCAGAAATTTATTTTCTCTGCCGGAGGAGGTGCGGGGTATCAACATGAAAAAGGACACCGTTAGCTTTGAATACTTAAAGACTTCTGGATATCTCCTCCTGACAATTCTCCCAATCCATACTTCTCTCATCTCAATATGACTACCCATAATATTGTCGTCTTTGGGGGAGATCATTGCGGCCCCGAGGTGAGCTTTTCAGCACTAATAGCAAAATCAGACACACAGACGGACACTAACAAACAAAACAGGTAGTTGCAGAGGCAGTCAAGGTACGTACAGCTTACTATTGTCTGAAGGCAATAAATGAGCGAGAACAAGCAATTAACAGAATCCAGGTCCTCAAGGTCATTGAAGCCGAGCGCCCAAGTGCCGGAAAGTTCAACTTCCAAGAGCATCTCCTGGGCGGTGTAAGCATAACCCCCTCCAGCGTACTCCAAATATCTCATCTCTCTAACGTCACTTCCCAGTGCTCAATCGATGCCACCGGCGAGCCCCTTACCAGCAAAGCCCTCGAGGCTGCTAAAGCCGCAGACGCCGTCCTCCTAGGCGCCATTGGTGGCCCCAAATGGGGCACAGGCAAGGTCCGCCCTGAGCAAGGCATTCTCCTCCTCCGCAAGCAGATGGGCACGTACGGCAACCTACGACCCTGCAACTTCGCCTCCGAATCTCTCGTCGACATCTCCCCGCTCAAGGCCGAGGTCTGCCGTGGCACGAACTTCAACATCATTCGCGAGCTGACTGGCGGCATCTACTTCGGCGAGCGGAAAGAAGACGAGGGCGATGGGACGGCATGGGATACGGAGCCCTACTCCCGGGCGGAAGTTGAGCGGATCACACGGCTCGCGGCGCATTTGGCGTTGCAGGAGGATCCGCCACTACCCGTGTGGAGTTTGGATAAGGCGAATGTGCTGGCTACAAGTCGTTTGTGGAGGAAGGTTGTTTCGGAGGTTATGGAAAAGGAGTTCCCGCAGTTGAAGATCGGACACCATCTGATTGACAGCGCGGCTATGTTGATGGTGAAGAATCCGAGAGCCTTGAACGGCGTGGTGGTTACGAGCAACTTGTTTGGAGACATCATCAGTGATGAAGCGAGTGTCATTCCAGGGAGCATCGGGCTTTTGCCCAGTGCAAGTTTGAGCGGTGTTCCGGATGGGAAGAGCCGGTGCAATGGTATCTATGAGCCTATCCACGGTATGCAGTCGCCTCGGTCACTCCTCTCTTGTGCACAAGGCTGACAGAATGCAGGTTCCGCACCCGACATCTCAGGCCAAGGCATCGTCAACCCTATCGGCACTATCCTCTCCGTCGCCATGATGCTCAAGTACTCCCTCCGCCTCCCCGCCGAATCCAAAGCCGTCGAAGATGCCGTCCGAAACGTTATCGAGAAGAACATCAGAACGAAGGATATTGGTGGCTCGAACAGCACCATCGAGGTTGGAGATGCCGTTGCGGAGGAGCTCAAGAAGGTTCTTAAGGGGCTGAACTAGACGAAAGATATCAAGCTAAAGTGAAACAATATAAAAGCGTTGAGCTAAGCATTCAATTTTCGATCTGCTTGGCATATGCTCGGGTCTCGTTTCTACAAACTAATTCGTCCAGGGTTTAGGAAAGACGGTCATTCTATGATCTCGGGCAGCTAAAGCCTAGTCAGGCCAGTCGATGATATCTTAGGGACAAGAGGCACCATGAAATGTAAGCAAGCTCCCTCAATGGCTGAACCTAAGCGGGATTGCTTGGTTCAGCGAGGGCAGATACACACCGGCTGTTTCCTTGACGATTCTATATATTAGTGGAATAGAAGCCGAGACCGACTTTGCCCGCTTTATGCCATAATTCCGGACCGATCTCATTGAGTCAGGAGACCAATCAACGTTTACACTCACTCCAGATCCACCATCAGTAATGTCGTCAACTGTACAGATCCTTTTAGTATTGATGTTGCGCTCCCCCCCTCTGTCTCTCTCTCCTTCTCTTACTCTCTCTCCGTCTTGTACATTTGGGTCCCCTATTGTTGTTTTTTTTTTTTCCTCCTCCAGATTATATTTGTCCTGGTCCAGGCTTCTCGCGACGAAGTGCCACCTCATCACGTTCACGTGCGTCAGTCATATTTTTTCGCACGAAGAAAGAAAGAAAAAGAAAAAAAGAAAAAGAAAAAAAAAAAACCGGTACGTCTCTCTCTTCCGAAAGACTTCAGGAGTCTTGGCCATCGCAGAAACTCTTCCTGGTCATCTCTCTCTAATCGTCTTGTTCCACTTTCTCGAAAAAAAGGTGTGGCTGGCTCCTGGTCGTTGAAGGAGCATTTATTTTTAGATATGCATATCTATACACACACACACACATTTAAATATAGACACGGACGGATCAAGCTTTGTGCGCCGATTTAGGTCTGGGAGGGAGTGCGGGATCAAATTTGCGTATATCGATCAAGCGTTATATCTTATATATATATATATAGATGTATATATAGGCTGGTGTCAGTTGAGGAGGGACGCTGCCGCCGCGCCAGAGGTACGTACTTACCGGATATATCATTACTACACCCACCATACAAGTTATTCTGCCTTCTTCACGGCACGCCAAAGCTCGTCGTTCCTGTGCAAATCTTTTCTTCTTCTTCTTTCCTTCTCTGCATAAGCTCGCCTTTCCGCGAATCTATTCCACTTCCTTGTTACTCATATTCTACAACTCATGCTTCGCAACTCACGACTTACAGCTCACAAGTCACAGTCACAATCAATGGCACCCACAAAGCAGACACGCACCCTCCCAAAATTGACCATGCCTACCACGCCCCCTGCCGCAACCATAGCCAATGGCACAGTCGCCCACCAGCCTTATTCCTGCAACATCTTTGCCCAGACTGACACCTACGACTTCGCGTACTCGGCCGGCGTGCCGCCGCAGGAGTGGAGCGGCAGCTGCCCGAGGTTCATGTGGGAGGTGAGAGAGCAGCGCCAGATGGAAGGCCCGAGGGAAGATGCGAAGGGGGAGGGCGGTGGGCGTGCGGGGAGTGTGGTAGAGGTTGGGAGTATGGGAATTGGGATGGAGAAGGGCCCAGAAGTTATTGTGGAGCTTGTGAGGGTCGCGCGGGGTGTTGGTGATGATGAGGAGGGAGTGGAGGGGCTGGGGCTGGGCGATCCAGGAGAAGGGAAGAAGACGGGCGGGAGCAGACGCGCAGGAAGGTGTGGAAGGGGGTGGTTTTGCGGGTTTGGAAGTGGGTGGCGAAAGAGCGGGATGGGTGGATGGATGAATCAATGAATGAGTGAGTGGAAGTTGGTCCCCGTCGTATTTTCCGTATGGAGTTGGGCTCGTCGCGCTAGACTAGACCCAGGTAGGGAGTGCCACTAGAGGGACAACAAGCTGACGCATTCGCACAGTTTGTGTTGTGTACCGAAAGATATCACCACTCCCTCTGCATCGATCATCGATCGAGATGGCCCAGAGTCTAACCAGTCCTGCCATCTACCACCTTACCAGGAGGCGGCTGAGCAGCCACATCCTGCTCGACGTGCCCTGCATGGCTGTATTCCAGTCCAGAAAGGACAACCCAGGTTGGCACAATGCACAACAAGGTCATGCCAAAATTGACCCCAATACTCGCGAATCCACTCGCGTTGGGTGCCGTCTGCATGCTGCAACTCGTTAGTTTTCCGCCTCCTCCATCACCAAACGGAGCGATGAGACTTGCGCCCAGATCCAGCTCCCGACGACGATGGTGATGATGCAGGTGAAGGCGATCTTGGCGCGCGTCTTGACGGTGATCGATTGGCGGTCCAGAAGGCCGGCGATCAGGAAGGAGCTGAGCTGAAGATGCCGGCGAAGTTGGTGAAGAAGGATGAAAAGGCGTGGGAGCGCACGGTGAAGTACTGGGTCAGAAAGGTGCTGGTGTAGCCGAGGTAGAAGTAGCTGATGAAGAAGGCCGGCAGTAGGAGCATGATTCGGCGGGAGCAGAATTGGGCCCAAAAACGCCTTTTGAACCCGGCGGCGAGGTTTGGCTGCGAGTGGATGATGATGACCTTGGAGCCGTCCTTGTGCCAGGCTTTCGAGGCTGGGCTCAGCGTCAGGGCGAGGGCAGACCGAGACGCATGATCGCGATGAAGACGATGTAGGTGGTGCTGCCTACGGACCCGGCTGTCGAACGGCCTGCGTTCAGGCCCAAGTTGATGGCACCGCCGACGATGGGGCCAGCTGCCTTCGCAGTCTGACAGACAGCTAGATAGAAAGCTCTCTCTGGAGGGTGTGGATAGCCGACGATGACAGTGGCTTCAGCAGCCCAGAAGAAGCCTGCTGAGATACCACAGATGCCAGTCCCGAAGAGCATGAACCAGGTTGTAGGATGCACATTGCTCGTGTACAGGCCAGCTCCGTATAGCGGGAAGCCCCCGATAGTACCGAGCGCCAGCCCGTACTGCAGCCCGGTGCGGTTGTTGATGGCGCCCGCTGCCACCCACACGACGGAGAAGCGACCATAGACGAGGGCATCCGCAGCCGAAACGGTGTCCCGGTGGTGATGTAGGTGCCCGTCGTGGGTTCTTGTTCCGAGGCCATCGTACAGATCACTCACAGGCTCAGCCGCTTCTCCAGCACCCATTCCACCAAGACCATCCCACATCCCCGGAGCCGTGCAAGATACCTCACTAGCACCAGCCACCCCAATCTGGAACGGCACCGATCGCTACCACGACCTCTCCAGGGCAGGTTCTCCAGCCTCAACCGCGCTGGAACAACTCGGCTCGGCTCGGCTCCCCTCCTGCACCACTCTCCTCCACCAGTCAGTCCCCAGTCCCCTTTCCACTCATCGCGAGCGACAGCAACCCCCCCCCCCCCCAACGATAAGAAAACCCAAAAAACAAACCCAAACCAAGATACAGAGTGTGCTCTTCCGCGAAGCAGACTCGAGTATTCAGAAGACATAAAAAAAATTACAATACCACCACCACCACCACCACTCCACCAGGAGACGCTTAAGCCAAAGGCAGGCTTTCCCCTCCTAATCCCGCACTCGCCCCGCTTGCTAAATAGTACGGTAATCATCATCACCACCACCCATCCTTTTTGAGCCCGTAAGTCTCGTGTGTGCATGTATGTATGTAGGTATGTATGTATATATGTATGTACCTATGTATCAGTATACGTAGTATTTGCCATAGACTAATCAATATCCTAAGCCATCCATGCATGCATGCATGACGTGACTGGGCCATCTCGTCCAAGGAAAAAAAATATATATACATGTATATATATATAAAACTCCGGCCGGCAAATCCTCTCCGGGGGAAAAAAAAAAAAAAAAAAAAAAAAAACCTAGTTACCCTAGGGTAGAGAGCCCCCTTCTCTTCACTTGAAGTGGATCGTATCGCTCGGGGGGGCAGGAATCTTTCTGCTGGTTCGACTCCATACCCATACATAAGGTACCTACCTAACCGAGGATCCGTGACGCGTTGCAAAGCGAGACGTTCTGGTTCTGTCTGAACAGTCTGTCTGTTCAACAAGGTGCTTGCCGTCTTGGCAGGGGCGAGTCTGGGGGAGTTTTTTTTCTTCTTTTTTTTCTTTCTTTCTTTTTCTTTTTCTTTCTTTCTTGCCATTGCGGAATGAAAAGCCTCCCGAATTAGGGAACCTCTTCGGTTCGTGGGACTTTTTTTATGTATATATATATACACACATACCTATATACATACCTAGATCTATCGGACTACGCCATGTACATACTAGGGATTGCCTTGCCATTCATCTCCTTCCACATCGGGGACCGCTCGGTGGGCGCCATGGCAGCCTTTCCCTGCACCTCCTGGAGGTAGGTCCGAGCGTTCGACGCCGCCTGCACCATGGCGGCAGCCACCTGCCTGTTCGTGGTCTGCGGCAGCGCCCTGGCCGTCACGTCCTTCGGCATGCTGATCCCGCCGGCCACGCACGGCTTCCCGTTGAACGCAGCATCGGCCGCCGCCTGCCACATGGCCGTGACATTCTGCATCATGGCCGGCGTGTAGAAGAGCCGGCAGTCGGCGTCCTCGCGCACGAACTGGGCCGGGACGCCGTCCGGCACGTTGGGCGCGAGGATGTGATCCGAGAAGTTGATGCCGTTGTCGAGGCTCCGGTTCTGCGGCAGGTCCGTCACGCGCTGGAAGACCGTCTTTTGCGCGCTCGTCGCCAACGCGTTCGGTACCGTCGCGGGCTGCAGGAAGAACTGCGCGTTGCGGAAGAGGGGGCCGAAGGAGAGACTCTGCGCACCTTTCACGCCGCCGATGGCCTGGATCTGGGAGGTTCCCGGACGGCCGCCGAGCGCGACCGACTTGACGCCTCCCTGGTTCCTCATCATCTCGCTGAAGAGGGTGCATGTGGAAGCACACGTGCCGTCGTACAGCATCACGATGTTCGCCGCCGGGAATGGCTGCGTAAAGTTCTTCCTCGCTCCGTATCCGGTGACGTCCATGCCAGCTCCGGTCGTCTCACTGCTCGTGAAATCGGGATCCTCAAAGTTGTTCTGCTGCAGGCCACTGAACTGGTCCCCGTTGATTGGGTAGGGCCCGAACTTCTCGGCCAGGGAGCTGAAGGCGGTTCTGTTCTGGTTGAGATCGAAGCCGACGTTAAAGGCCGATTGAAACAGGCTGATGCGTGTGAAGTCTGAAGATCCTTGAACTGTGAAGTTGGCGAACTGGTCGCTCACAGTTTGTGTAAGGGTTGCATAGGTGGGGCCGCTTCGTTGTCGAGCGAAAACCTGGTCCTGAGTCGTTGGGAAGAGCTTTCTTGGGTATTAGTACGGGAACGATACCGAAAGATCAGGGAGAATCTGAGCGAATGTAGACATGCATAGCGACGCAGTGTTGAGATGGATTGTACGAACCTGTCTGAAAGCATCGAAGCCGTTGACCACGATCCCCCCTCCGTTGCCTTGCAGGTCCACAACAAGCCTTGAAAATTATCAGCACTGCCACTTCGACGCTCTCAAGTTCAGTCCCAAGACCGAGTCGCAAGAAATGGATTCAGAAGTTCTGACGTCGGCAGAGACTGAGTCTATACATACTTGGTCTTCCCATCCCGTTTCATCTCTGCCAGCATCGTCTGCATAACGGCCTGGAACTCCGCGGGAACATCGGGCTCAAAGCTATTCATAGCAATGACGCCTACGTCGCTATTCGGAAGGTAATACCCAGAGATCTGGCCATCCGAGCTGCTCACTTGCGCAATAGGGTAGCCCTTGAGCCTAGTGTTATTGCTCGTAGGGTCTCCGGCTCTGAACATCGGGGCAGGAGCTTGGTTTGCAGGACTGTCTTGAGGTGCGGTGGCGACCGGCGGCACGCAGAACCTTTGGAAGGCAGTCGCGCCATCCGTGACGCCTGAGAAGTTTCCTGGGACGAGAGCCTGAGTCTGATAGGTTGTTGTCGTTCCGTTGGCGAAAGTTAGGGTTGTGTTGGGTCCTGGGTAGTAGAACCCGTACCTTCCATCGCTACACAGCTCAAGTCAGCGTAGCTCGACTGCGATGTGAGATGGGCTCACCCGGCAAAAAATCCTCGTACGTTCATCCCAGGGGTGAAGTCCAAGGCGGGGTTGTACATGACTGTGTTGTACGCCGCGTCTGGGTCTTGCTGGAAGCCCTTGTTCGCCTCGGCGTTCATGAATGCAACAGCGTCTTGCCCGTTGATCTGTGCTACAGGTGATGGGGCGGCACCTGTGGTATTAGTATTCATGGCAAGGATTTCATCTGTGATCGTCAACCAGGGATTCCAGAAGTCCGACGGGATCTCCGAACATACCAGTTAGGTATATCTGTGGCATCGACGTCCCATCCATGCTCACAGATACCAACGAAACGTTCCTCGTGAATCTGACAGGTCTAACTATGAGATCACCGGCAAAGCGACTGTGTACACAATCAGCCTTATCAAGTCCATTTCGATGTGCGAGACATACAAATGACCATCCTTCGCTGCCATGAAGGTCGTAAACATATCCGTTTGCCACGCATGCTCATTTGGATACGTGTTGTTCTGGATACTGCTGGCGATTCGATTAACCTGGCCGACGAGGTCAATCGCAGGGTAGGGGTAGCCAGCAGGAGGAGCTGCCTTGTAGGAGAGGTCTGACAGATAGTCAGTTCAATCCGGGTGTGATTGAGGTTGAGCCAGCCCACCAGATTGGAATTCAACATATGGCATTAATGCATTTGTAACGGCCAGCGCTTGTTCTGAATTAAGAGGTACTGATCGCAGGCAGTTGATGGCAAGCTCTCCAGGAATCATGGGGGTGACTAGAGGAAGGATCAGCTCCAGCCATGGAAATAATGTATCTAGATGAGGTACCGCTGGGGTTGGCTGCCCTCATCGGGACCACCATGGCGCTGACTTGAGCACATGGTTCATTGGTGGCGGACGAGTTCTGCGCGTGAACATTAAACGGCAACGCCGATAGAGAAACGAATGTGACGAATAAAGAAATCATGATTAAGATAGAGTGACAAAAAGTACGGCCCTCGAAGGCAAGGCATGGCACCTGGCCGCCATAAGTATGGCTCTGAATCCCTTCGCCCTTCCCGTCTCAGACTTGAGACCATGGCGCTGCTTGGACCTTGAAGAAAAAGCAGAGATGGTTACCGGAAGCGAGCCAGGGAACTGGTTGAAGAGTATATTACCTATACCGGTACCGGTACATTAAAACAGAGAACCAGCCACGAAGAAGCTTTTTTGCCGCAGAAGCTTATCTGTTGGTAGATCGATTGGAGTCCCGTTTCGGTTCCCTCGACCCAAGAAACCTATATAGTTTGGAGGATGTTTGGGACCAGCACTGGTGAGACGAGATTTCAGTGACTGCAGCCAATTGCAGATCTTGACATTCGTGCGCTGCTGTTGAGGTCCGGCTTCAGATGCAATCGAGTCTCAAAATTATTGGCAGACGGTTCTCGTCGTGGCCCAAATACATCGGCCAAACTCCGATATTGGACGGGGCGGGACGCATTAGGACGACAGCATGCAAAGCTGGACACGGACCCTGGAGATCTGTGGCAGCGCCGAAGTTGAAATACCGGGACGCTGTCTCTGAAGATCAGGGTAAAAATTGATTCCGCGAGAAGGAAAGCAAGGACTTCCCATGTTCCCCAGGCTTACCTGACCACATATCTCCATGAGTATCAATCATCGTAGATTCTCAATTGAGACCTCACACTTCGTTTGTTTCTGCAGTATGCATGGTAAGCGATGGAGGAAAGGGGTGATGCTGGAGAGCATCAACACCATCATTCCACTCGCCGGAAAACCCCTCTTCAGCGAGCAACAGCACACATAGACCGACCGTGACTTGAAAGGCTGTTCACTTCACAGCCCATGGTATCCACCCAAGCCGGTTCCCAAGCGCCATCAAATATGCAACCCATCCGAATCCCGAGCGTCGTGCCGACCATGCTGCCATCTCCCAGAAATACCGTGAAACCCCAAGCTCGCTCGCTACCCATCTCACCTCCTCCCACCTCATCATCCCTCCTCCCCAACCACACTCGCATCCCCCCCCGTAGCCACAACAGCCCTGACCACATCCCCTCGAACCTCCGGCATGGCCCGCCCCATCTCGCCGGCCAGCACGTCCCTGAAGCCAGCAAAGGCCTCCATCTTGCCCTTCATCAGCTGGTTGCCCTTGCGCGCCAGCTCCACGAACTCGCGCGTGTAGATATCTGGGTTGCGGCCGTTGTCGACGTACTGGATCAGTTCGGGCGGGATGGAAGGCAGCGTTGTCGAGCGGGTCGCCGTGGCGTGGATTTTGCGAAGGGAGCTGGCGAATCCTTGGCTGGGTGGAGGGAGAGAGATGGCTGTTAGCATGGAGTGTGTGTGGTACTTGGAGTGTTTGCAAATCAAGGGCTTTTCGATTGGCAATCTCGGGATAAGGAGGGAGAGGGAAGTAGAGGGCGTACAGCTGCATCTCGAGGACCTCCTTCGTGGCGCGTCCGGCGATGTCGTAGGCGTTGATCTGGACCATGGTTTGGTACAGATCCTGGATGGCCAGCTTGAGTTGCTCTGCGCGTTCCTTTTAGCTCTAAGATACACCATAGGGAACCGCGAACTCACTTTCGACAGCATCGTGGTCTCCTTGGGTGACAGGTGCCATTGTGATATGTTGTTGTAGGGTTAATGTGAAGCCAACAACGATTCCTAGCCTCGAGATCGAAATCACGGCTTACGTCTTGGCGCGCCTTCAGCCTTGTCTCCTCGACATGAAAATGTAAATAATGCCAGCGGATACATATTTGTAGGGTATATAGCAAGCGTATCATAGTTTACAGTATTAATAAGATTACAATCACTATTGTAACATTTACTTCCTGCTTCGCTTTCCAGAATCCGATAAGTAAGGAATTTAGTAAATCTGACTGCTGTCTCGACTATGCTTGCTTGGCTTCAGTCTCGTGTCAATAACACAACAGCCGAAGACTTCCATGACCAAAGGCTTCCAAATTCAGAAAGGAATCAGAAGGTTTGAAGGTGCGAAGCTCGCATGTATTCTCAGTCTGGGTTATACCGTCTATCTAGACAAAGCAGCCGTTTAGTGATACCCCTACACCCCACGAAACAAATTTTTCAACTCCCGATTCAAGTCGAGCCGGCTAGGACTTGTGAGACCATCCTCACCATCCGCCAAGCCCAAGGCCCTAACTTTGCCTTTGACATCAGATTTCAATTTCCCGTTACTCTCATCAGCCGGATCGACCCCCAGATCCCCCGCCGGCCTCTGCCTCTTGATCTTCTCCAAGATTGGCTCCGGCTCAGCAGCAACATACTTCTCAAATTTCGCAGCTAAAGGCTGCTTGGGCTGGTATCTCTCGATATACTCAGAGGACTGAGATGGCAATTGAAAATAGAGGTTGGGATCATTCGTGCTCACAGAGGCGCTGCTTTGCGATGATCTGGCTGACTCAAGCGACGGCTGTGGTGATACCAGCGGCGGCAATAAACAGCTTGAATCGTCAATTGAATTTTCCTGCGTATCAATGCTTGCCCTGTGTGAGAAATAAGAGGATGTATCATTGCGTCGAATTGGCGGGCGAGACACACTCGGGTGAGGGGTTCGTGGGAATGGGGTCGGAGCTCGCGAACGTTGGGAGCCAGCCGCAGATTCAGGAGCTGTCATGTAATCCGACTCGACTGTGTGAGACCTTCGAGCAGTTCTGGATACCTTGTCTCCGCAAAGATTTCCTTCTATGGATGTCATGTCGAAGGAGATGGAAGCTCGGGACTTGGGCCCAGGTATAGCTACCGTAGGAAGGTCGATTCTGGTAGGACCCTGTTTCTGCCGTTTTCTCGGTGGCTTCTGATCTTCAGAGCCAGAGGGGATCGCATCGAGATCCCGTTCATCAAAGCCGTCGCTAGAGTAGTATGTTCCCATCGGTGCCTGCTCATGAGAGTTTCGCCGGACTCTGGCTTCCGCCGGGTTTGCTTTTCTTTCACGTTCTCTATGTACGTTATTTGGAAGAAGATGCATCCATCTTGGCAAAGGCTTCGTCTCGCTCGGCTTGAATGCAGGTTCGCCAACTGGATCCGTTATAGATACATAGACGATCGCAGCGGTATCTTCCTCTTGAAAAGTTCGAGGAGAGGGAAGAGAGGCGACGCTAGACAGCTCAGTATCGCTGTAGTAATAGCTGTGATCAATGCTGCCGTCTTGAGCCATTCCCATCTCGGCCGCGTCTTCTAACAACGGCTTCAGGTCCTCTGCAGTCCGGAACTCACTCATCTTCACTACCGTTAGCATTCATACTTGCCAACCACACTTACACTCACACTCACATTGCGCTTTGAGCGGTACCCTGGGCAACTATTCAGGCTTTCTTCAGTCCGAAAGGCGCCTCTGAACCTCCTCAAACCTCTAGCCGAACTTCCCAGAGGGAGCCTTTCATCATTTCTCTTCTCGTCACCGACTCCAGATAACAGATCCAGTCTAGTGCGGCTCAAACCTCCATCAGACTTCGTCACAGTCTCCAATCCCCTCTCTAGCACGCGGTCAGTAGTCTCACCCGCAGTCTCGACCTCACAAACGCCACACATCGGAATCTCATCCAGCTCTATACCTATACATCTCGTCCTTCCCTGGGCATTTCCCGCCTCCTTACTCCCGCTCCACTTCCCCCACTCCCCGCTCTTGGTCCCAGTACTTTCCTCCGTACATGAAATATCACTCTGGACCGACCCAGGCACATCCAACTTTGTCCCACATACCAAACACCCAAAACAGGCGCTATGCCAGAAACACCACCCCAAACTCACAACTTCGTCGCCTCTGACGACGCACTCTCCACACACCCAGCAGATACTCAGGTCTAAGACTGCGCGCCAACAGGCTCTGCAGACGATACGCGCTGACGCACCGAGCAGCCTGGGCTTGGATCCGCGCGGTTGGCGCTGCCAGCAGATGCTACAGATGAAGGCGGGGTTCTTAGATGGAGGAGCGGGATCTTGGTTGGGTTCGAGTGGGGGCGCCTGGACTTCTTGCGAGGTTGCACTGGTATCCATGGTCGTGTACAGATCAAGTGTGGGTGTAGGTGGAGTGGTGCAATGGGAAAGGGAGGCATGCCAGGTCGTCTGCTGATCAGCCGAGTCGGAAGATGGACCACTGCAACGAGAAACAGCAGACAGGGCGCCTCCGCCCCTGGTGCGTAGTGGTATTCAAACGAATGTTGAGTAATGAATGTGACGACGACTAATAAACGCAAGTCAAGTCAAGGACTCAGCTGGTGCTGAGCTTCAATGAGGTTGTTAAGATGTAGTAGGTGTGAAACATTGGATGCAGAGGGTGAAATGAAACCTGCCATCTGGCGAGTCTTCGATTCTCGGATTCTCGGTAATGCCAAAGGAAAAAGAGAAAAGAGAAAGGAAGGAAAGAGAGAAAAGAGATGGTTGAGGAAGGAACGATCCTGCTGCCCTTACATAGCATCAGCTTCAGCAAATCTCGTCACAAACAAGCTACGGACGGTCATCATCCAACATAGTATCAATATGCCTCTATTCATATCTCATCACTTCCTGGTCCGATCTCAGGAAGAAGCGAGCGTCATTAGTAAGTACACCATTTATGAATCGAAGGAGAAAGCAACCATCGGTCATACAATACAAGAAAAGTCCTGTCGTAGAAGTGTTCGTAAGCCAATTCTGGCAGTGTGCAAGGAGGAAAGAAAAAATGTGGAGAGAGAAATGAAAATCAATCCAGCCGCTCGCGCAAACTTCCATGCATCATCTCCAAGGAATGTGTGACGAGGGGCGTTCGTACTCCAATCGACGAGTGAAGGAAATACCAGCATCGGTATGCCAAGGATCAACGTGAAGTAGAATGTATCATGGCCCTGTCACAGCCGACCATCACATCGCTTCGTCGCGTCTACTTCCGATTTTTGGGTCGAGAAAGCATGTTGAGGCGACTTAGACTCAGGACAGCTCTCTTCTTGACCGGGCTGGAGGCTTGAGGTATGGGGGTAGCTTGGAGATTCGGGGCCAGGAGCATATGACCTTCAGCAGCAGCAGTCTTGGACTTCTTGGGGGAGCGCTCATCTTCCTCCTTGTGCTCATCGTCGGACTCGACACGTCGACGCTTCTTGTTGGCCATTCCGTGGGGGACCGTCGGAAGGAGAGGCGCCTTGTTTTCTTTGTTTCCACGGGGGAAAGAACCCGGAATCTTGTTTGGAAGGACACTCTGGCGAACCTGACGCACACTGGCCTGGCCGGGGGAGGAACCAAAGCCCTTGGGTGAGACACCGAATTTGATGGTATGGTCGCTGCGGAATGAAAATGATCCTGGGACCAACGGCGGGGGAGGGGCTTGGCGAGGAGGCTCCGGGAGTGGACGAACACCGGTGAGCGAGGGGTACTCCACCTTCTCTGACGACTCTCCGAAGTTTGAAAGCCCGGCAATCGAAGGGTACTCAACTTTCGTGGCATCAACCTTCTCGCTGGTCAGTGTCTTGACAGGGGACCTGGGACCAAAGTTGATCTTTGAAGTGGATCGCGGAATTCCAGACTTCATTGGCGATGGCGAGTTCTGGACTGTGGCACTATTCTTCTTGACCGTATCCGGAGTGAAGTCGACATGCTTGACAACCACCTTTGATCCAGCCGTAGCACCCGGGGTAACGGGGATCGACGGGAGCACCTTGTCCAGGTTGGGTTTGCTGGGGCTTCTGGAGAGCGAGGGAATTGCGGATGGCTTGGACATGGGTTTCTTCGCGCTCACGCCTCCTCCGTATCCAAACATTGACTTCACACGGTCAAACTTTCCAGGGCTTTGCAGAGCACTTTGACTCTCGGGTTGAGGAATGCTGCTCAGAGTATTGGATGTTGCGGACTTGGTCATACCACGGGGCGTGCTAGTCAGATTCGGCTTGGAAGAGGATCTAGTCAGAGATGGGATCTGAGTCATCTTGGTACTGGCGGCTCGGGCCAGAGAAGCTTTGGTAGGCGTCGTCGCAGCCGAAGGCATGTTCGAGTGGGAACGAGTCACAGTCGGGGTAGAGGGTAGGGTTTTGTTCTCGTGTCTGGAGACTGGACGAGCAGATGAAGCATCCTCCGAGACGTGCTTTCGAGCACGCTTGGCAGGTGCGGTATTCTCCAACCGATCCGATTTCTCAACCACCACTCGTTCGTTCTTGTGCGCATCCTCGCGCTCGTCCAATTTAGCCTTCGACTGTGTACGCTTCAGGCTGTTGGTGACCGGTGTGAAACGTCCTGGCTGAGCTCTGAAGGAAGAGGGATGTCCGGCGATCGAGTCCATCTTCTTGAACTCCGCCATGTGAACATCACTGAATCTGCCAACCTTCCCCTTAGGTTGTGCGATTTTCCGGCCCCCAACCCCGCCAGCATCCTCATCCTTACGCTTCTCCTCCTCTCGCTCCGCAGCAAGCTTAGCCTTGATTCGGAGCGCCTCTTCGCGCAAGTCATCCATCATACGCTGTGCCTCAGGGCCCAGTAGGGGACCAGGGCGAGCGAACTTGAAGTCGAACGAGGGCGAAGTTATGCCAATCTTCGAGGGAGTCTGTTGGTGGACCCCGGAAGGCTGGTTGTTGTTGTTCGTGGCCGCAATGTCAGTGAACCCAAGTCGAAGTCCCGAGTCTGGCTCTTGGGTTGTGCTCTGTTGCACCTTACTTGGGTGCATCTCTGAGAGGGGAGGGACGACACGTCCGGCCGTAGCTGGCGTTCGAGGCGCCGATGGGGAGGACGTGACGGATTCGAGGTTCGAATGCGCGCCCGTGGCCGGGGTCTCATCGCGTTCCGCGAGGGATTCGAGACGGTTGGAGGCA